GAAAGAGAGAAAGAGAGAGGGAAAGAGAGGGAATCCCAAGTAAATTTTGTCTCGCCGCTGTGATGTACGTACAAGTTTGAGCGAAAGTATAGATTCGGTCCAAATAAAAATTGTCTAGACGACCATCCGCTGTCTAAGATAAAAGTGACCGTCTTAGACAGATGAACGTCGTACACAGTGGCATTAAAATGTTAAATTTTTTTTTTTTATCCTCAAATACAAAGGAGGAAATTTGGGAAGAGGCCGTTTGTACAGTTGATTGTTTTTTCCCGGTGACCTTTAGAACGCTCGACTGTGTTTCCTTTTGATGCTTGACTCAAGGCTCACTTAACAGCTTTTATCTATCTTGCCGAAACATGTTGAGAACATTTGGGAACAGTTTAGGAACATGTCAGGAACTTTGCAAGAACACGTAGGGGCAATAATATGTCGGGAACATGTTGGAAAAGCTTTTGGAACACCTTCGGAATCTCTCAGAAACCTTTCGGAAATATGTCGGGAACGTTTTAAGAATGTGTCGGGAACATGTGAAGTTTGGCGATTACCTTTTCAGATGACCGATAAAGGCAATGGTGTATCCCCCCCCTCTCTCTCTCTCTCTCTCTCTCTCTCTCTCTCTCTCTCATGTTAATAATACCAGAGTTACAGATAGATTTTTTCTCTGAAGCGAAAAACAACAACAAAAGACAGAATGATATTAAAATGTGCTACTACAAATAAACAATAATGTATCTGATTACCAGTGAAAAGTGATAATACAGAACATTATGTGAAACTTCAGCTATGTGCAGCTGCGTGAGTAAAGAAAGAGGACTGGTGTTTATGAGTGTATTGGTAAGGCCTTTTGACGTTGAAGTTGAACGCAGAAGAGGTGAGGTCGATTCCCAGGTGGGGAAGTTTGAGCATTTCATACAGCATGCTGGGATACTGTATACCACACGGCCTAGGTTTGTTTTTGATTGGCGCGCCTTCGCGGTCAAGGCATCCTTCTTCTTATTTGATCTGAATTGCGGATTTAATAATAAGAAAACACCTAATGGTGAGGGTGGTGGCGTCGTTGTTTCGTCATCTTGCGTGATCTGTCTATGATAATATTATTTGTAGAGTGGGAAAAGACAACTTAAAGCCGCAATTTTCGTCAGCGATTCGTTGTATCAGCCTTCGCAGGGATTTTTTTTT